TTTAAGTTCCAAACCCAGATACCTGACCTCTCTTTGCTCCCTCACCAAGCTCCTCAGGCTCCTTTACAGTCCTGGCCTGTCTTCCTCCCTGCCTCTCTAAGCTGAGTGCTAGCATCACGTACGCACAGGAGGTTAGCCTGAACCTTGAGGGTTATCTTTGGCTCCTCCCTGTCCTCAGCCCTCACATTCCACTTCTTCAATATCTCTTGAATTACTTCTCTCCGTCTCTGCTAATAATGATCATGGCTAAGATTAGTGGGTGCTTTCCAAGTGTGCATGCACTTTGGACACATTCCGTCCAGTCTTATCTTCATTTTATAGATGAGAAGACTGTGGCTGGTAGAGGTTGAATAACTTGCCCAGAGTCTCACCCTATTCAGTAGTGGGGAGAACGGAAACTTGAGCCCTTTGGCTCTGCAGATAGTCAGCCCTGCCTCCAAAGCCTTTGTGTCTGGGCTGGTACCCAGCTGCCACTCAGCACAGGCAACCATCATCTCTCACTTACATGTTCACAGCAGCCTCCCAACAGGTGTTTCTGCCTCCCATGTGATCCCATCTAATCCATCCTCCACCCTTCGTCAGAGGGAGTTTTCTAGAAGGCAAAAGGGGTCATGGCACTTCTCTGCTTAAGTCTTTGAATGGTTTCCCTCTCACCCTGAAGATAAAATGTAACTTTTCATGACAGATAATAAAGTCCTTCATAAATTGGCTCCCGTCAACTTGACAGTGTACCAGGGGGCAGTGGTTTGCCACGGGGGCATTTTGGAAATATGTGGAGACTTTTTTTGGTTGATCACAACGATAAGGATGTGCTGTAGGCATTTGGTATGCAGGGGGCAGGGATGCTAGACACCTGCAAGGCAAGGGATAGAACCACACAGACAAGAATTATCCTGGGAGCCACATGGCTTTCAATGTCCTATTGAGCATCTCATGTGAAAAATCCATTAAAAAAAACTATCTGAGCCTATACTCTATCTCCATTAACCCTATACCCAAGGGAGGAGGGGACAGGCTTATTTCTGGTTCACCCTTACCGGAAATAAAGCCCTTTATTTCTTTGGGGGGTCCCATCTTTACAAAGGAGAATGTTTTGTTAAGCTCCCCTGTTGAGGAAGTTCTGAGGGGTTTCTTTTCATCCATGAGACATGGACCAAAGCTCATATTTACCTAGTTAGGCAAATGTCTACAGAGAAAAAGCCTGCCTCAGTTTTCTGCTTCCCTCTCTACAAACCCTGCCTTCACTTACTTGTTTTGCCCTGAAAATTCCTTACTTTTTCATCAAAGCATTGAAGATATTTTTCTTTTCTTTTTTTATGTTTATTTATTTTTGAGAGAGAGCATGGGCAAGGGAGGGGCAGAGAGAGGGGACAGAGGATCTGAAGCAGGATCTGTGGTGACTGCAGCAAGCCTGATGTGGGTGGGGCTCAAGCGCACTAACCATGAGATCATGACATGAGCAGAAATTGATGCTCAACCGAGCTGCCCAGGTGCTCCAAAGATTTTCTTTCCTTCCTTCCTTCCTTCTTTCCTTCCTTCCTTCCTTCCTTCCTTCCTTCCTTCCTTCCTTCCTTCCTTCCCTTTCCTTTTTTTTCCTTCTCTCTCTCTCTTTTTTTTAGAGAGAGAGAGAGCGAGAGCGAGTGCCCGTGAGCTGGGGAAGGACAGAGAAAGAGGGAGAGAGAGACTCTTAAGAGATCTTAAGCAGGCTCCACACCCAGTTGAGAGCTTAAAGCCCGGTTCAGTCTCACAACTGTGAGACCATGACCTGAGCTCAAATCAAGAGTCAGACACTACGATGTTCAGCATCCCTCCTCATCAGGGAAATACAAATCAAAACCACACTGAGATACCACCTCACGCCAGTCAGAGTGGCTAAAATAAGCAAATCAGAGAACTCTAGATGCTGGCAAGGATGTGGAGAAACGGGCTCCCTCCTACACTGTTGGTGGGAATGTAAACTGGTACAGCCCCCCCTGGAAAACAGTGTGGAGGTTCCTCAGCAAACTAACAATAGAACTCCCCTATGACCCAGCAATAGCACTGCTAGGAATTTACCCAAGGGATACAGAAATGCTGATGCATAGGAGCACATGTACCCCAATGTTCATAGCAGCACTCTCAACAATAGCTAAAACATGGAAAGAGCCTAAGTGTCCATCAACGGACGAATGGATCAAGAAGATGTGGTTTATCTATACCATGGAATACTACATGGCAATGAGAAACAATGAAATCTGGCCATGTGTAGCAACATGGATGGACCTTGAGGGTGTTATGCTGAGCGAAATAAGTCAGGCAGAGAAGGACAAATATCATATGT